ACTGGTAAAAAAAGTCCACGATAGAATGTCTCGATTTTAAACGTTAATATTTAAACTAATTTTAATTCACAGCCCTATTTCGACATTATATTAAAATATGAAAACTCTGTCTTTCAATGCCTGATGATGATGTTCATAACACGGTTGCGCTTTGACGACAAACATTTTTTTTTAATGACATCAGAACAGTGCTCTTAAAAAATGCACGGTCAGTGTTTTGGTTTTTATATCCAAGCGGGTATTTAGGATTAATTCATTCTGCGCTATCATGTGGATTGTCTTTGTGTGAAAATTGTCGCGTTTTCCAAAAGAAAAAGTGTGTGGGTCGCACGATTAAATCAGAAAACACGGTTTTATACTTGAATGTGGACCAATGTAAGAATGTTGATGAGTTCGCAAAATACGGCAAAATAACTGATACCGTTAGCTTTGAAGAAACACAAACACGTCTTTCGATTAAAACAAGCGGTTTAGGTTAAATATCTGCAGTCAATCGATGCACTGTAACATTTGAGCATAACTAGGTACCTGTTACTTTTAAAAGTATTAATTTCACAAGGTCAAATATTTTCATAACTGTAGCAAAATTGTAAAAATACTGCTCAAAAACATCGATCGGCACGAAAATCCTCTTATTTTCAAACAAACTGTGAGTTTTTCAGGGAATGCACGCTTTGTTCTGCATTCCAATTCACAGTCACGAAAAAAATCCATACTTTTCTCCTCTCTTTGAAATCCCCTGCTCGCGATCACAGAAAAACAAATTTCCCTGAAAAACCAAGACATTTCTCTCCAGTACCAAAACTCCTCTCCTACCTTGGGGAGTACCGTGCAGGATATTCAGTGTCAGAGACCGATGGACTTCGTTCTGACTGTTAATGATGATGGCGTACAGGATGCCCCTGCGCACCAAATCATCGATCATGATCTGAGGAGTGGTGCCTTCTGGGATCTCCCGCATGTCTGTCAGCACGCTGAATGTCTTCAAGCGGCGGGTTATCATATCTCCGTAAGCTCTGAAACCAGAAAAACTGAGGTCTGTGAATGCGTGTTATGGAAAGTGTCAACTAAAAACTTGTCTTGTGCCAGTTGTGGTGCATTTAAATCCATTATTACATTAAATAAACGAGATGGGTCAGGACTCAAACCATGTGTATTGCCATTGCCTATGATGGTGGTATTATAATGAGGAAAATACTGTGCAAACTTTGAAATGATACAAATTTCTTTTCCGTAATAAGAATCTTGAAATATGATTACCTGTGCAGTATGCAAGATGAATATATCAAGTCTCAGGTATCTAACAAACATGTTGTTAAAGAAAAAAAAATCTTACACAAAATACAGTAGTTTTCTAAATAAGAATTCCAACGCCCTCCAAAAAAGAGTTAATCACAAATATCATACGATCTAAATACTATACCTCTGTTGTGGAGATTTCATGAGAATGCAACAGTCAAAGGGGGGTCTCTCAGCCTCAGGTGCCCCCACAGGGGGAGGGGGGTAATAGGGGTCCCGGTAGGGGTCCCGCCCATCATCAAATGGGGGTGGTCGCCTGGAAACAAGGAAAATATATCTTATGATGATATACACTCCCATACACATACAAACACACACATGCACTTAAAGTACATAGGTACACACAATAAGAATATTTGTCTGTCAAGAGAAAGATTAACCCACTTAAAGTTTACATCATTGCTTTATTTTAAATGAAATTAGTTAACATATTTACTAGACACTCAGTTTAGTACAGGTTATTTTCCTGGTATTCCCACTGATAAAACACAGCAAATAGAGCCAAGTGACTTAAGTTTTAGTTATAACACACAGAAATTATCTGTGTTATAACATCATACCTGTAGGGGTCATCTCTGGCATATCTGTCCAGGTAAATGTCTTATCTAAGAACACACATATCACCTGTGTTATAACATCATACCTGTAGGGGTCATCTCTGGCATATCTGTCCAGGTAAATGTCTTATCTAAGAACACACATATCACCTGTGTTATAACATCATACCTGTAGGGGTCATCTCTGGCATATCTGTCCAGGTAGGGGTCATCCAGGGGAGGGGGGCGTCTGGGTGGAGGGCCATAAGGGTCATCTAGGTAGGGGTCGCGAGCATAGGGATCATCTCGTCTGGAGAAAAACTTCAATATATGTACATAATGATATCCTTACCAAAGTTATGCACATACTTTATAAAAGATTAAAACCATAATTACCAAGACAGAGACAAAAAAAATCATTAGTCTTTTTGCAATAGTTACAACTATCTTTTTGTGTTAAAAATTACATTCCTTCTGATTTGGCAAAGTTACATTTTTCTTTTCTTTTTTTTTTTGCTAACTGACAAAAGCTGGTATGATGTAAGAATGAATAAGGCATCTGGGATAATAATGACAATAATAAAACTAATCCCTAGGCCTGACCTGTATGGGTCTCTTAGTGGGTCCCTGAGACGGTCTTCATAGGGGTCTCTCAGGGGTGACCTGTCTCTGGGAGCCAACCCTCTTCCTGCTGAAATGTCTCTTTCCCTGCAAAACAGTTACAGTACTTGTTAAAAATCTCAAATACCATAATTCCAGGAATATTTATACCACAAGTGGAAAATATTGTCCTGGGAAAGATCTTACTTTAAGAAATATTGATTTCTGCATCAGGAATCAAAAACAAAAATAATAAATAAAATGAAAAATACTAAAATCTCCATGTCATTTTTGTAAAATAGGTGCTTTATGTATACTTATTTCAATTTTCTGAAACCTTCATTAGCTAATAGCAATAGGAACGGGATTCTTCCATTATTATTGCTCTGAGAAGAAACACTTCTCACAAATCAGTGGAAGTTGTCAAACTGGGGTCAATTTCAACCTGGGAACTGACATCAAGGTCAAACTTGGGTCAAGGGCTTTGTATATATATCACAAGGGGCAGTGCTGTGGTCATATTGTGGTCAAGTTTGTCCTTACCTCCGTGGTCCACCCCTCTGACTTCTGCCTTCTGAAGCAATCTTCACATCTGAGGAATGGAATATAATTAGAAGGTTATATATTATATAACAATGATAATTACACTATATAAACTATTTAAAAAACACCAATGAGAGTCATAGGAAAAAAGGGAGAGTCTACAACATGGAAATGAATTACACCATTTACACTATATGTGGATTCAACCTCACCTGGACTTTTGAGGATAAACTGCTCCCCTCAGCAGGTAGCACAAAAATTCATGCGTTAGCACTCCTATTGACAATTCTGATATGTACTGTCTGTGCTAATGCATGAAAGCAAAGGCCTCAAAAAGTTGGAAATGAAAAATGGTTGCCGAACCAGCCGCGGTGAGACAGCTCTCAAATTTTTATCTAAAAATCTCAACTCCTAAAACGCACATTACTGTGAAGCCAACCAGTTTTCCCATCAACGGAGGTATCACTTTCCTTAAATTCATCTGTCTGTCTGTCTACCAGTTTGACAGTCATAAACTGGTTTTCATTTCCAACTTTTTGAGGCCTTTGCTTTCATGCGTTAGCACAGACAGTACATATCAGAATCGTCAATTGGAGTGCTTGACTTTTGAGGATAAACTGCTCCCCTCAGCAGGTAGCACAAAAATTCGGTAGCACGGAGGTATCATTTTCCTTAAATTCATCTGTCTGTCTACCAGTTTGACCGTCAAAAACTGGTTTTCATTTCCAACTTTTTGAGGCCTTTGCTTTCATGCGTTAGCACAGACAGTACATATCAGAATCGTCAATAGGAGTGCTAACTCATGAATTTTCGTGCTACTCAGCAGGATGGAACTGTTTTGTTATTAAAGAGCTTCAGGTGGGATGCCTTGATTTATTCATGGTATTGTTGTGTGTAGTACATTTACCTATTCTAAATCCTTTGTATAGACCCCCATTTTCTAGTCTAACAGCTTCCCTGGCTTCTTCTTCTTTGCCATACTGTACAAAGCCATAACCTTTGTGTAAAGATGTGCCTAGAATGATAAAATAAATATAAAATACTGTACAAAGCCATAGCCCTTGTGTAGGGATATGCCTTGAATGATAAAATAACAAATATAGAACACTGAACAGCTTTATCAGCCGGGCCAATCATTTTTGATAATACTGACACTTCTAAGACACTAGCTTATAGCAGGTTTAGAAATTTAGCCACTTTTTCTTGGCATTAACTAAGATCCTTTCCATCTCGAGTGAAAGTTACTCCAGTCAAACAGAGAGTACAGACTGTAACCATTCTCAGTTGTGAACAAGAATATCACTTAAAGCACTTTCCTGTCAAAAGACAATAGGTCACGCAGTGCTTTATTTCATGTAAAGTCACGTCATCCACGAATGCGTTCCACGCACCAATGCACGTGCTTTAAGCCAGATAAAGCACTCGGTGCTGAACTTTACGAGAAATAGAGCAGATAATTGTCTCGTCTTCGCCTCGCCAATTATCTGCTGTATTTCTCGGCTTCGCCTCGCCAATTATCTGCTCTATTTCTCATAAAGCTCAGCGCCTCCTACTTTAAATATACCTTAGATTCAAGAAAATAATGACCAATGCATCATGAATATTTTCTACTTGCTTAAGATCCAATATAACTATCTGTAAGACATGGCTAAAGAAGACTGATAATCAGCTACAAAAGTAACACATAACAGTCACCCTTGAAGAACCACTACAATAAAAAAAAATTATTACACAAAATATCAGTATTTGTACAAACTCACCCAATACTTTTCCATATTTTTTAAACATGGTTTCCAGTTCCCCCTCTGTCATTTTATCTGTGGGCAAGTTCCCTATAAAAACCCGGCTGTACAAAAGTTTTGGGTCATCAGAATTTGTGATTGTCCTCTCATCTCTCACAGGTGGTCCACGGGCGCGCTCTCGCTCTCTACTCATTGTGTGTCGGTGCCTTTTATTTTACCTCTTTTCCCTTTTATCCTCAAGCGTGGGTCATTTTAAGTTCTCGCCACTTCTCGCGTGAATACAAGACAAGCTATTTGATAATATTTCAATTATCTGAAAAAATGATGACATTTAGGTTTGCAGCTGTTATTGCTATTGAGGTAGATTTGTTGTACATCTTATATAAATTTTGTATTCTTATGCAGTGTTATTACAATAAAATATCGCTTATCTTGGTATCAGAGCCGAGTTCAAAGTTCACTCACGTTGGTTTCAGTAATAAAAGTACAAGTGCACTCAAGTCACCTACAGTAGAGTTTGTCGCGGATGTCTCGACTCCTGCGGTCAATATACAGGTACAACTTCAGACACACTATGGCTACAAGTTCCACGAGTGGTGCTAGAAAACTACAGGTAAAATTCGAAGGCTTTAATCTTTTAATTATATGCAAGTCACGAAGTGTAAACATTTCCAAATGCCAGTCATTTGCCGATTTAATTTTCAGTCTGATATATTTCTTGCGTTTCTGTCATCCACTACATGTTCACTGAAAAGTGAAATCAAGAAGTGATACTTAGTGTCCACGTGATATGGTTTTATGGGTCTCATAGTGTGTCAGTGTGCCATCCATTTTAAATTAAGATCTGGAAATTTATTTATTCATGTTTGGGGGTGGGGGGTGGGGGTACATGTAAGGTTGATATATATGGGTTAATTTAATCAGGTACATAGTTCTTGTCAGGGACCGTCATCCCTGATGTGGCTACTGGTATATGATAATAGTCGCTGGTGTTTAGAAACTCAGTCTGAGGTCTGTGGACTACCTGGGGTACTAGAACTACCTTTGTTAAATCATATATTATAAGTTCTAAGGTTATCAGGATGTGGTGGGTCAAAATCTAGGACAGGACTTACCTGTATAAAACAACAGGATATTGATTAACGGGGGGAGGGGGGGGTCGTCGTCCATAGTTTTCATAGTATAACTAGTGATCACTTTATCATCCATAACATTTTTTATGTTACTTCCTGTTTGTTTTGATAAGTCAAGTGACATCTGTGGTTTTTCGTGTCTTCTGTCCTGAATAATTAGGGTTGGACCTTTACCCAAGCATGGCTCTGCAGATACTGTAATTTAAATATTTAAACTTGCCATGATGCTAACTAATGCTGATAACCAGTGTCAAGTTTTTCACTTTATTTTCAGCTGACAGATGAGGTAAGGTTTCCAGTCCCCTGGGGTCATATAGCAGCCAAGGTTTGGGGTGACCCAGGGGGGCGGCCTGTTTTGGGACTTCACGGCTGGCAGGACAATGCCAACTCATTTGATGCCTTAGCTCCCTTACTTCCAACAGGTATGATACTTGTACTGTATATATAATAACTGTGGGGTGTGTTGAGGGGGGGGAGGATTAAGGGGGGGGGCAAGATAATACTAACTCATTTGATGCCTTAGCCCCCCCCCCCCCCCTACTGCCACCAGCAGGTGTGTTAGACCCCATTCCCATAGGTCGATCTAAATCTTAATCTCTGGATCCATCTAAATCTCTGGGAATGCACCCTTATATGTTCTGTAAAATATTAACTGAGGGGGGTGGGGGCTGGAGTAGATACAGCAGCTATACTTTTGGCACTTCTGATACCTTGCCAGTAGCCCTCTTATCTCTAGCTAGTTTGTTATATGCTGTAAAATTAAAATGAGAGGTTGATTGCTAAAACTTCTCTTAGCTTCACCATTTTCTGGTTGACATTTTCTTATGTCTTTTGCTCATAACTTTATTTTTCTCTTGCAGACTTCTACTTTATAGTCCTGGACTTCCCTGGTCATGGTCGTTCCTCTCACAGACCTCCTGGTCTCCCGAACCAGTTTGTGGAGTATCTCTTTGATATCAAGAGAGTCGTTGATGGTAAGGTTATAAATACAGCTCTTTGGGATTCAGATCAAGAGTTTTCCCAGCTAACCATCCAGCCATCATTTAGGCGGCGCCAGCATTACCATCACATATTTTCAAAGATAGTTTGACGGCTTATGGATTTTTTGGAATTATGACGGCCTCAGGCAAACACGGACTCCCTGAAATTTTTGAGGAAATTACAGGTGGTAATTTTGGACCACCTGTAACCCCAATCCTGGGAAAAGCCCTGATTCAGGTTATATGTATTCAAAAGGCAAATAAAGAAAAATGAAATACTGAAAGGTAAACATTTATGTTAAACTGCTATATTTTGAAATGCAATCCAGTTTGTTTTCATATTTCTCCTACACAGTGCTGAAGTGGAAGAGGTTCTCCATAATAGGCCACAGTATGGGAGGAGGGATAGGAGTAACAGTGAGTAGGATTGGCCTGTCATAAGACTGAAAGTGCCGTTGTGTTAGGTGTGACAGTCACAGACAGTCATTGTGTTTGGTGTGACACTTGTTGTGTTAGTGTCATGTGTAAGGTGTGACAGTGTTATTGTGTTAGGTGTGACAGAGCATAGTGTTAAATGTGTTAGGTGTGGTCATGTCAACATGCAAGATGCGGCAGTATCATTGTGATATTGGCAGTCATTGTGTTAGGTGTGACAGTGTTATTGTGTTAGGTGTGACAGAGCATAGTGTTAAATGTGTTAGGNGAGCATAGAGTTAAATGTGTTAGGTGTGACAGTGTTATTGTGTTAGGTGTGACAGAGCATAGAGTTAAATGTGTTAGGTGTGACAGTGTTATTGTGTTAGGTGTGACAGAGCATAGAGTTAAATGTGTTAGGTGTGACAGTGTTATTGTGTTAGGTGTGACAGAGCATAGAGTTAAATGTGTTAGGTGTGACAGTGTTATTGTGTTAGGTGTGACAGAGCATAGAGTTAAATGTGTTAGGTGTGACAGTGTTATTGTGTTAGATGTGACACAGCATAGTGTTAAATGTGTTAGGTGTGGTCATATCAACGTGCAAGATGTGGCAGTATCATTGTGTTATTGTCAGTCATTGTGTTAGGTGTGACAGTGTTATTGTGTTAGGTGTGACAGTTTTGAAAATATGTCAAATATGTCAGTTATACGGGAATTTAAATGTGACAGTTCATGCCATTAGTTATGTGTTGATTATAGAAGGTTTATTGGCTAATAAAAGCCAGATTCAATTTTTGTGTGCGTATGTGTGTGTCTGAGAGAGAGAGAGAGAGAGAGAGAGAAGGAGACAGAAACACTGTATAGAGGGTGGAGGTAGAGAGACAGAGAGAGACAGAGAGAAACAGAACAGAGAGAGAGGAGGAGGAATATTATGAAGTTGAAATATTTCTTCTGCTCTAGTTTGCAGGTCTGTTCCCAGAGCTTGTGGAGAGGGTCGTGTCTCTGGATTTGATGGCACCTGTGTCAAGAGATCCTGTGAGTAGACAGCAGTTTTAGTGCACTCCATTAGAGGAGTGAAATAAGATAAAATTTTCCCCAAAACCAATGATTGTGTCAATTATTTTTATTGAATTTTCGGAAGGTGTGGTTATAGAATTTTTCACACGAAAAACCTATTTCTCGTGAAATAAAATTATATGCAATTTTGCTTTCCTTCAAAATCATACACATTGTCTCTATTATTACTTTTGGCACTCTGTGACACTACTATCATTTCCATACCTCCAGTAGAATTCTAGGCCTTTCTCTGTTTTATATGACCTTCACCTTCAGGAAATGGCACCGTCACTGTTGAGGACGTCTATAGAGCAGACACTGGGTATTGAAGCTGTTAATAAAGAAGAGAAGACATACACTCCTGAGGCAGCTTTGAAAAGGTGTGTATCTTGTCTTGTCATTTATCCCCTTGATTAATTTCTTTTCTTGAGTGTTTAAGTGACATTTTATTTATTAGCAGATTATGTTATCATTATTATTATTATTATTATTATTATTATTATTGTAGACTTCTTGATGCTAATGCCTCTCTGACAGAAGAAGCTGGGAAAATACTTCTAGAGAGAGGAACCAAAGTTTTGGAAGGTACATTATACCCCATATATAATAAGTTAATCCAAACAATATTACTTTACACCTCAATCTGCAGTAATGTATAGACATGATACATGCATGTTGACCTGCAACATTTGCATATATATTCTGATTTTACATCAAGTAGTCTATATTTTTCATGTATCCATAACTTTTTAAAATATGGTTAAATGTCAGTGTCAAGTATTTCATCTATTTGCTCATGAAAGGTGAATTTATAGTTGTATTTATTTTATTTTAGATGGAAGAGTAATGTTTACAAGAGATCATAAAGTAAAAACAGTGAGTATGTTGTAACTGACTACAGTATACAAGATTTTGTTTTACACAGTAACACCCCTTGTTAGATTTTCTGCACAATTTTTGTCATGTGATTTATTGTTATATAAATATATATAAATTATATAACATAATTTTAATATAAATTATCTATGATGATTATAACTCTGATATTTTGTAATCTATTTTCAGAGGACGCCATTATCATTTTCCAACGATCATCTCTTAGCGTTCATCAAACAAATGAAGTGTGAATATCTTGCCTTGAGGTATGTGATGTTAGTTTAATGTAACCACCCTGAAATTCAGAGATAAGTTCAGGAAGAAGCAGGTGTTACTAGACAGTCTTCAATTTTGAAGAGGCTCTTTCTTTCAGGGTGTGATTTACATTCAAGTATAGGAAGCAGAATTTTCTTCTAAAGTTTTGTGCATGTGACTGTTTGAACATTTTTCATGGTTATACTTTGTGGATTTGTTAAAAAGATTTTCTTTGGTATAAATTTTTATGAAATCCTCTTTTGGAAACGCATTACTCTTGTACTGTAATATGTTGTCTCTTAAAAAGTCTGTAAGTTTGTAACATTTTTTTGCACCAGGTTTCTTCATAGTCCTGACTTTGAAAAGGCACGAAGGCAACAATTTTCTGAAGCATTCAGCCAGAGTTGTTCCAAGGTAAGTGTAGATCACTTCAGGTTAACCTTTCTGGCATCTTCTGTTCTCTGTGTGAGCACTTTACCATGAACTTTTGATTTTTTGCCACCTGGTGCACTTTCAGTATTTAAATAAGTAATGTAAAAGAAAAAAAACAACTTCTATGTATTTACGTAAGTCTGTATGAAGTGATGTTCTTTACAGTGAGTCTCCCTCTCATTTTAGTTTGAATATGTCGAGTTGCCAGGAAATCACTATGCCCATCTTGTATCAGCAGAAGTTGTGGCGCCATCTGTATGCCAGTTTTTCTCAGAATATCTGTCGTCTGCTGAGAATCGTTTTGCCTGTTAGGGAACTGTTCTTCAGAGGTGACTGATGAATAAATTTCTCATTTATAATGTGATATTAGAGATATCCAGTCCCTTGATGAAAGAAAATTTTGATTGGTTTTGGGTCAAAGTTTCATTTTGTTTCATTTTTGAAATACATGGTAACAAATTTCTTATAATCAAATTTATCAGTTATTGTCAGTCACATGTGAAAGACAGAGTGTGGCAGGAGTGCACGTCCTAGAAACGCAAGTCCCCCTGGACATTAAGTCCTGGGAATGCAAGTCCTAGGACATACGTTACTAGGATTCAATGTCCGTAGGACAAAGGCTACCAAGTAATGTAAGTCCTACGTATAGTAATGCATGTCCTAATGGGACGTGCGTTCCTAACATTTTAGTAACACGTCCTATATGGTTAACACCGAGAAATAACATGAATAAATAGATATAGAAATACACTAGTTTTAAAGATATAATAAACCGTTGCTTCATTAATATGACATTTTATTTTAATATTTTACGATGTTTTCATTTTCCGATAGGCAGTTTATATGCATAATAAAAAAACAAAACAAAACAAAACAAAAAAAAACATGGCTTCCATATTTTTGTTCAGTTATATATCATGTACATGTTTTACTCAACGTAAATCTTTAAGTTGGACGCGTTCACGCATCCTTTGAGTGTAGTGCCCTCCTGTGTGCATAAAATGTAAGCCCCTGTTTTATCTGATATTTTTTTTTACTATATAAGGCCCCAGCCATGGCATTTCATCTTTCCCTCCTTTACGATCTTGTTGTCTTAGATTTCTCTTCAGGGCTTTGGTGCCTCCAGGTATTTCCAAAGAATATAATAATAAACTTTTTTATTTAAAGTGGAAATTAAACTCTTAGTAAATTAATCGCAATGAATATTGTGTTTAATTCTTACATGGTTTGAAAACAAATTATTAACTACAGTGAGAGGCAGTAATAAATCTATATTTACATGCTATTTAATGATTTTATTGGGGCTGTACCTTTTGTGTTTTACGACGCGCATCATAATTTTTCTTTTGTCTGTCCTGTGCTTTTTTCCCAACAGACGATCTCATTCTTGTAACTCTTATTCGTCCTCATATTCTTCCTCAGTTGGCTCAACGTGTTGTTGATCATCTTGTCTGTTGATATCAGAGGGAAGATTAGGCTCTCTGTAAGCCAAACAATAAGTAATGAGAACAAAATATCACCAAAACATTCATGATAACATTATAAAATTAGAACACAATTATGAACATACAGGACATGAGAGCAACGTATCATGTTTAGGAACCCAGTGATGACTTAAATTGTGCCGTTATGGTAGTTAATCATAAAGATTCTTTTCATTTGCTGAAGAATTTTTAGTCTTTTTACCTTCTCAGTTCATCAAATGAATGATATATCACCATTTAAGACCTACACTTTATCTATATTATAAGATAATGTAACGGTGTTGCATTAGCTGAAATTTTAAAAAAAATCGATCTCATTGGAGTTAAGAAAATTAAGATAGTATTTGAAAAACACGATTTACCCATAGAATGCTGATATATATTTGGGATTTTGACTCCGTCGTTAAGAGTCTTGTTTAAGTGCATGGTATCTTACCTTCCAAACATCAGATCGAAGGGCGAGTATCTAGTGGTGTGGTGTTTCGCAGTGTTATAACCAAATGTAACTTGATGTAACTGCTGGTCCCAATCATTTCTTCCTGTCACTTTCATCAGCATGGACTCCAGCTCCTTTATTTCTTCCTGGTTTGTTATAACTTTTCTCCATGATGTTTCAGTTATCATTGAAGAGGTGCCTTCACCCCCTGATTCATCATTGGTTTCAACATTTTGTTTGGGTTTTTTCTGCACTTTATAGAAAAGTTCTCCTCTCTTGAGCTGAAAAAAATTAATTCATAAGTAAAGATTACAGATTTCCGCATACCAAGCATTGAAAAGAGCAATAAACATTTTGCTAAAGCAAATAATATGCGTACTGAAAGCATATATCCTCTAATTATATTTGCTAGAACATGCTTCCTAATGTCTGTAGGCCGCCGATGTGCATTAGAAGTGACAATGGTTGGACATGCTGTACTGGTAATAGAAGTCCACGGACATGCTGTCCTGGTAGTAAAAGTCCGTGGGCATGCTGTCCTGGTAATAAAAGTATCTTTGAGGTATACAAATTAATACTTATAAAGCTTTAAGGTTAATATGAATTTTAAGAAAATGATTTACCTTGTAGTTGTCTTTACTGGCTCTTCTAATTACCCTTTTTTCTTTGAATGAAGCTTCTGGAGGATATTTATTTTCCCTGAGATATGTCAAAATTGTTTGAATATCTGGTTTTTTGCGTCTCTTCGCAGCTACTTCCATGGTTACAATGGGTGGGACTGTGAAATGCCACGTCTCTTTATATACCCTCCAAAAGACGCGTGTGACCAAACTGACTTGTCAGGAAACTGATTTGAAAAAAATAAATAAATAAATGACCTCGACCTTAACACAAGGTAAATAAAGCAAAAAATAAAATAAAATAAGATAAAATAAATAAAAAAATAAAATAATAAATTAACAAAGTTCTAGGCCTAAATATCAGACCAGAGGGTGGGGGGAGGGGTGTCATATGGTCATCAGTAGGATTCGAACCCTTTGGATGTGGTAGTTGCCTCCATATTGATTACGTTTCGGCCTTGCATGCTGACCTCTACACTGACGAGCTGAAGTTGCAAACCATCCAAGTTTTGTTTTATATATGGTTCACCAGAATAATTTCCATTTACATTTTTTATTTTATCATTTAATTGTATTACAGCATAAGGATAGGACTTTCAAATGGCCAGACTTGCATTACTGTCATAGGAATAAAAGTCTGCCAGTAATACAAGTCTTACCTACAATAATAATAATAATTATTATAATCTTTATTTGAAAATCGCAACCCGAAGGTTGAAGTTATACAATTATGTAATTTATTTATTTAAATGAAATGAATATTCAAGTCAAGGAAGCCTGGTCATTTTTGCACTGTTGCACTCTGCAGACGGTTTCACCTCCCTGGGGAGGATACTCGCCTGCCATATTAGGCGCTCAGAGCTAATATATCATTTCTACACTGCCTGACCAGGCCCCTGCTTCAACCCCTTAGTGCTGAGTGCCAAGCGGGGAGACAGCAGGTACTGTTTA